CAATGACTGAATTTGTGGTTCTCACAAAGAACAGAAAGTTCTTGCCCTTCTGCAGCGAGGACGAGAAGTGGTGGAAGGCGCCCTTTACCGTCATCCAGGCGACTGATACACAGTTCGGGATGCAAGAGAGGTTCTTGGAGAAGAAGGCGGTGTACGGCTGGAAGCAGGAGATGGCGTGGTCGACGCAGCTGGTGAAGGAGGTCAATGCTATGGGTCCCTCCTCCCAGGTTCCTGGTGGTGTGCGGTGATCTGCTGGACGCTGACCCGCAGATTGAACCAAAGATCCGTCGACAACAGGAGGTTGATTTCAAGAAGGTGTTTGCGAGTCTGCAAGTGCCGTTGGTGTGTGTGTGTGTGTGGCAACCATGACGTGGGTAACATCCCCACCACAAGCTCCGTTAGCAGCTACAGGTTCTCCTTCGGCGACGACTTCTTTAGCTTCTGGTGTGGCGGGGTGTTCTTCATAGTGGTGAACACGTAGTATTACGAGAACTCCGACATGTGCAAGGAACTGGCAGTGGAACAAGATGCATGGCTGGAGGAACAACTTGAAGTGGTGATTAGAGAATAGCCCCAGCATGCCGTAGTATTCCAGCACATCCCTTTCTTCCTGGTCAACCCGGAGGAAGAGAAGGAATACTTTAATATATCCCCTGCCATCCGTCACACCATCCTGGACAAGTATTAGGATGCGGGGCGTCCGCTACGTCCTCTGTGGCCACTACCACCGTAATGCCGGTGGCTTGTACAAGGATGTGGAGGTGGTGGTGACGTCGGCTGTGGGAGCACAGCTTGGGGAGTAGCAGTAGGGGTTCAGGCTGGTGCAGGTGCTGGAGGACCGTCTCGTACACCAGTACTACCCACTGTACATGCCACCACACTCATCAAACACCCCAACACCGCCTCCACCTGAGCTTAGCAAGGGGAAGAGGAGAAGAAACACGAGGGTAGGACGGAAGTGAGGAACAGATCCTCTTAATAAAGCGTACACATCTAAAACAGACAGGAAGGGAATTATCAGAGAAAAGCGCCAAACCATCACGACTACATAGCACTCGAAAGGGGTCAGGATAAGGATTAAAGATAGAACGGGGGGAAAGGAATGGTGCCCAACCACTTGGATGGTCGGGGATTGAACGCCGACCTGCATGAAGCGAGACCGTCGGTCTACCGTCCAGCCCAAGAGGCAGGAAGGCGTTGAGGAAAGGGGTTTCCCCTCACTGAGGTGATGATATACGAACCTCATGATATACAAACTGAGAAGTGAGTGTTTATGAAGGTTGTTCCTTAAGTCTAGAGGTGTCCAGGGAGGTCTGTGTTGTACATCACGGCCACAACGTCTTCCCTCCTCTCCCTGGTAATTTAAGTTTAATCTTGCGGTCGTTTTGTAGATGGTATCGCCGCGGAGCAGTTCTTTCTCCAGAAACAGATAGCACCAGCGGCGACAGTCATCTGATTACCACGGGACCAGTAACGCCACTTTATGGCCTCGCTCACACACGAAAATTTCATTTCGTTCTTTTTTGTAGCGTTGTTTAAAGCGCGTTGACGACTTGTTCGTGTGGAAGAACGCACGCACCTGGGCTTTACTGAACCATCGACACTACCACCCAACCTTAAACTCACTGGTGAGCTTAAACTCATTGCAATTCTCTACATTTGAACTTAAACTCACTCCAATCTTCCTGCAAAGCTTGGTGAGAGAGCCCCAAGCGTCTCGTCTATCGCAAAGAAATAACCATTTTTTTTTTTTTTTACAAAGATGTGCAAAATTACCTCTTTTCATGGCTAGGATTAAACACATTCAGCCCCTTGGGCAGCTCGGTAGAGCGAAGGCCTTGTGTCTTATGAAGGTCCAAGCGGTTGGGCACCGTTCCATCCCTCTATTCTTATACTCGTTGTCCCAGCTCCTCGTCCTCATACTCCAGCTCCTTGTCCTCATACTCCAGCTCCTCGTCCTCATACTCCAGCTCCTTGTCTTAATATTCTAGCTCCTTGTCCTCATACTTCAGCTCCTTGTCCTCATACTCCAGCTCCTTGTCTTAATATTCTAGCTCCTTGTCCTCATACTCCAGCTCCTTGTCCTCATACTCCAGCTTCTTGTCCTTATACTCCAGCTCCTTGTCTTAATATTCTAGCTCCTTGTCCTCATATTCCTGTTCCCTGTCCTCATAGCCCTTCCAAATGTAATATAGGCACACTGGTTTAGCGCTGTATCCTGGCAATTATTTACCTTACCTTTGTCATCTCTCGTCAGTCAAAACTTACCGTCACAGGCTCATTTGTTCCGGCCGTGTAAAGTACTCAATGGGGCAGGTTGAATGATCCAAACTTTCGCCTCGCCGCTTATCTGAGGGCACGTCGGGCACAGTTGCAAGGAACTTGATATTGCAAAGTTTTAGAGCCGTTCACACGAGGTTATTGTGTTAACGAAGACAATTTGCCTTCCCTGCCTCTCTCTCTCTCTCTCTCGGTCTATTCCTCTCGGTCTTTCCCTCTCCCACCTACTTTCCTTCCTCTCTTTCCCTTACGGTTCCCTCCCCTCGTCCGCTTCTATCTTCAAACACTCACCATATATCCAAGTGAAGGATGTCGTAGTTGATGTCGTCGATGTCTCTGACGGGAAAAGAACAAAAAGTATTACCAATGATGTCAATAAAGTTATTCAAATGACTGGCGGAAGTGTGTATATATATATATATATATATATATATATATATATATATATATATATATATATATATATATATATATATATATATATATATATATATATATATATATATATATATATATATATTGTTACGATAATCTCCTTCAAGAGAGATTTGGCCTGCTCTTTCCTATCATCATGTTACTTCAGTACATCTACAACATCTAGATACTACAATCAAGAGCTGTACATATTTAGTAGAATACGTTTCTACCAGGCGTATACGTACCCTACACTCGCTCTCCACCTCCCCCCCCTTCTCACTGTCGCCACTCCACCTTCGTCGATCACCAAACCACCACTTCCAGCCAGCACGCGTCCTATTGGTGAATCGTCGTCTGCACTCCACTTCAGCGCCATCTACATAGCTGATGACTAAGCGTGCACGAGCCATTGGATTTAGAATATTGTGTGCTCTCAAAGCTGACACACCTATCTAATATACGCTCTGTGTAATAGTGGATGTGTTCAGCCAACAAATATTCTCAGCCCCTTTTAATTTATTTTTTGTCTTGTTCATTGTAGAGTAACGTAACTACTGTATTATTTTATATTATTTTTTGACTTTGTTATCTTGTTTATTTGCAATGTACATAGCCAAGGGATTATCTTTGTTCATATTTGTTTTCAATTTAATTAAAGTTTCATTGTTCATACGATTTGTTTTGCGTGTTTTTCCCTTACTTTACCACAGGAGGCAACAGCCACGCAGTCAACTTTTTTTTTTTGTAAATGTGATTGGCATTGGCACCAGCCATTGGGAGGACTGCCGAACACCTACACTTTTTTTACCATCACAATATATATATTAAAAGGGGGGAAGGGGGGCGCTGTAGCTGTGTTGCTGGGGGAGTCAACAACACAGCTGCTGGCTACAGCTACACGACTACTTATCAAGTCATCGCACGACGTGATAATGGTCCAGGTCGGACCGAATCGTCGTTTCTCCATTTTCTGACGTGTGTTTTGGTCATCTTATCTTCAGCCACGTTATTGTGACTCAAAGTTTGCTGATGGGTACTACAATCTGGATAATGAACAGTGTGTACTGGGCTGTGGATAATGGGTACTAGACTGTGGATAATGATCAATGGGTACTCACGTAATGATGGGTGTGGATAATGGGTACTCACAGTCTGAACTTCTCGTTCCACCTGGGGTTGAGGGTGTGAGGCTTCACGGAGGTGGCCCGAATGATCTTGGCGGGGATGGCGTTGCTGAGGGAGTCCCGGTGCTCCACCCTCTCTCTCTTGGGTTCCGTTGGCTTCCTCTTGAAGCTCAGCCGAAAGCTGTTGGAGGTAGGAGGAGGGTGAGGGAGGAGCTGTTGGTGCTGCTGGCGGCGACGACGATGATGGTGATGGTGGTGATGGTGATGCTGGAGAGTGATGGGGGGGGTTGGTTGATGAGGGTGAGCGGGAAGGCGGTATGAGACGTTTCTCGGAAGGAATTGATGACGATGGAGTTTAGGAAGGTAAGTGGTTGATGAATCCGTTGCTGGAAGTTGATGCAGGTAAAGGCAATAGCTCTGAAGTAGTAGTAGTAGTAGTAGTTGTTGTTGTAGTTGAGGGGGGTCTGTAGTAGTTGTTGGAGGAAGGTTGTAGTTACTAGAGGAGTTGTTGTTGAATTGTGAGTTGTAAGTGCTTTAGAGTATCTTTCATCTAAATATTGAATAAATGGTTAAAAGTTTAATATTAAACATTAAAGGTTGGTATGAATCATGCCAACCACGCCAGACCTCTTGAACATTATACTGGCTGTGTGAGATGTGAGTCATTGTACTGTTGAACATAAGAGAGGCCATTCGAACAAAAGTAACTCTATAAGAAACTGGTCGAGAACGTTCTGTCTTTTTAGTGTTCTGTGGCGACCGTCTCGAGTTACAGTATTGGCCGTGTCAACGCTGTCAGAAGTAGTGGTGGTGGTGGTGGTAGTGATTGTGGTAGTGGTGGTAATGGTGGTGGTAGTGGTAATGGTGATAGTGGTAGTGGTGGTAATAGTGGTGGTGATGGTAGTGGTGGTAATACTGGTGGTAATAGTGGTGGTGATGGTGGTAGTGATGGTGGTAGTGATAGTGGTAGTGGGGGGTGGTGATGGTGGTGGTAGCGGCGATGCCAGACGAGATAGTCCCATCAGAGTAGTGAAGATGAGATAAGGACCGGCAAGACCCGGAGAGTACTCACCCCGGGCACATTACTCGGCACATCTAGGCAAATAACGACAACAACAACAGTCAACGCTACACAAACACGCACACGCACACGCACACACACACACACACACACACACACACACAACTACGCTACGTTATCAAAGAATGTTAACTAGTAGCTAATTAAGAGTCTAATAACAGGGATTGTTAGTAGGTGAATGAGGTAGTGAAGTGTGTGAGAGCGTGAGTGAGAGCATATGAGAGAGAAGGTGAGAGGGGGTGAGGGGGGTGGGGGGGTAGTACGTGTTTATAAGTACAAGTTTACTCATAATACTTGTCAAACATGCACAAAGAGATCAAAGAACGCGTTACGATATATGCAGATATGTAGCTGAGAGTATATCAGCTATATATCTGATATTACATATATCAAATAAGGTAGAAGGGTAGTTTATAAAGCCTAGTATTACCAAAGAGCATCTAGATAATGACATTACACACTGCTGAGTACTTGAAGGTCTAAGAAGCGGTGTTGGAACTTCAAGTGGTCCCCGCGCTCCACACATCTCTCTCACACACACCTACAGCCCTCACTACGAACATTATATACTGTAATTTCCCGCTGAATTACGTGTCAGTAAACTGTGTTGATCACTTGGAAGCTTAAATAGTGATCTTACTGAACATGAGACGCAAGCTGGTATCACACGAGCCATTATTTATGATCTGGTGTCAGTCAGGAAGGACCCGGCCCGTCTTAGTGACCATCTACGAACACCTTACTTAGGTTACTACAGTCCGAGACGTCCCCAAGAACTAGTAAGAGAAAATTAAGCAACGTGTTATCGTTAAACAACAAGTTTGTCTGTGACTAACTCAGGGTGGAGACCGTAGGGCTTTTTCTGGTCCTGAAGAAGAGAGTAAATAAGAAAAATAAGGCAACACTGAGGACGCCATTGTTGGCTCACCGAGAGAAGCTGACAAAGTGTTGTGTGGTCACGTCTTGTTTACGGGAGCACCGTCGCTCTCACACACGCCGCCTCCACCTCCTCTGATCTCCTGTGGTAACCACTTATGATATTCTATTTTTTATTGTAACCTTGTGTGTTACTGCTAGCGTTGAGCAAGGTTAACCTCGTGTGTTACTGCTGGCGTTGAGCAAGGTTAACCTTGTGTGTTACTGCTAGCGTTGAGCAAGGTTAACCTCGTGTGTTACTGCTAGCGTTGAGCAAGGTTAACCTCGTGTGTTACTGCTAGCGTTGAGCAAGGTTAACCTCGTGTGTTACTGCTAGCGTTGAGCAAGGTTAACCTCGTGTGTTACTGCTAGCGTTGAGCAAGGTTAACCTCGTGTGTTACTGCTAGCGTTGAGCAAGGTTAACCTCGTGTGTTACTGCTGGCGTTGAGCAAGGTTAACCTTGTGTGTTACTGCTAGCGTTGAGCAAGGTTAACCTCGTGTGTTACTGCTAGCGTTGAGCTAGGTTAACCTTGTGTGTTACTGCTAGCGTTGAGCAAGGTTAACCTCGTGTGTTACTGCTGGCGTTGAGCAAGGTTAACCTTGTGTGTTACTGCTAGCGTTGAGCAAGGTTAACCTCGTGTGTTACTGCTAGCGTTGAGCAAGGTTAACCTCGTGTGTTACTGCTAGCGTTGAGCAAGGTTAACCTCGTGTGTTACTGCTAGCGTTGAGCAAGGTTAACCTCGTGTGTTACTGCTAGCGTTGAGCAAGGTTAACCTCGTGTGTTACTACTAGCGTTGAGCAAGGTTAGCCTCGTGTGTTACTGCTAGCGTTGAGCAAGGTTAACCTCGTGTGTTACTGCTAGCGTTGAGCAAGGTTAACCTCGTGTGTTACTGCTAGCGTTGAGCAAGGTTAACCTCGTGTGTTACTGCTAGCGTTGAGCAAGGTTAACCTCGTGTGTTACTGCTAGCGTTGAGCAAGGTTAACCTCGTGTGTTACTGCTAGCGTTGAGCAAGGTTAACCTCGTGTGTTACTGCTAGCGTTGAGCAAGGTTAACCTCGTGTGTTACTGCTGGCGTTGAGCAAGGTTAACCTTGTGTGTTACTGCTAGCGTTGAGCAAGGTTAACCTCGTGTGTTACTGCTAGCGTTGAGCAAGGTTAACATTGTGTGTTACTGCTAGCGTTGAGCAAGGTTAACCTCGTGTGTTACTGCTAGCGTTGAGCAAGGTTAACCTTGTGTGTTACTGCTAGCGTTGAGCAAGGTTAACCTTGTGTGTTACTGCTAGCGTTGAGCAAGGTTAACCTCGTGTGTTACTGCTAGCGTTGAGCAAGGTTAACCTTGTGTGTTACTGCTAGCGTTGAGCAAGGTTAACCTTGTGTGTTACTGCTAGCGTTGAGCAAGGTTAACCTCGTGTGTTACTGCTAGCGTTGAGCAAGGTTAACCTCGTGTGTTACTGCTGGCGTTGAGCAAGGTTAACCTCGTGTGTTACTGCTGGCGTTGAGCAAGGTTAACCTCGTGTGTTACTGCTAGCGTTGAGCAAGGTTAACCTCGTGTGTTACTGCTGGCGTTGAGCAAGGTTAACCTCGTGTGTTACTGCTGGCGTTGAGCAAGGTTACCTCGTGTGTTACTGCTAGCGTTGAGCAAGGTTAACCTCGTGTGTTACTGCTAGCGTTGAGCAAGGTTAACCTCGTGTGTTACTGCTAGCGTTGAGCAAGGTTAACCTACTGTGTGTTACTGCTGCTAGCGTTGAGCAAGGTTAACCTCGTGTGTTACTGCTAGCGTTGAGCAAGGTTAACCTCGTGTGTTACTGCTAGCGTTGAGCTTGTGTGTTACTGCTAGGTTGAGCAAACCTCGTGTGTTACTGCTAGCGTTGAGCAAGGTTAACCTCGTGTGTTACTGCTAGCGTTGAGCAAGGTTAACCTCGTGTGTTACTGCTAGCGTTGAGCAAGGTTAACCTCGTGTGTTACTGCTAGCGTTGAGCAAGGTTAACCTCGTGTGTTACAGCTAGCGTTGAGCAAGGTTAACCTTGTGTGTTACTGCTGGCGTTGAGCAAGGTTAACCTCGTGTGTTACTGCTAGCGTTGAGCAAGGTTAACCTTGTGTGTTACTGCTGGCGTTGAGCAAGGTTAACCTCGTGTGTTACTGCTAGCGTTGAGCAAGGTTAACCTCGTGTGTTACTGCTAGCGTTGAGCAAGGTTAACCTCGTGTGTTACTGCTAGCGTTGAGCAAGGTTAACCTCGTGTGTTACTGCTGGCGTTGAGCAAGGTTAACCTCGTGTGTTACTGCTAGCGTTGAGCAAGGTTAACCTCGTGTGTTACTGCTAGCGTTGAGCAAGGTTAACCTCGTGTGTTACTGCTAGCGTTGAGCAAGGTTAACCTCGTGTGTTACTGCTAGCGTTGAGCTAGGTTAACCTCGTGTGTTACTGCTAGCGTTGAGCAAGGTTAACCTCGTGTGTTACTGCTGGCGTTGAGCAAGGTTAACCTCGTGTGTTACTGCTGGCGTTGAGCAAGGTTAACCTTGTGTGTTACTGCTAGCGTTGAGCAAGGTTAACCTTGTGTGTTACTGCTAGCGTTGAGCAAGGTTAACCTTGTGTGTTACTGCTGGCGTTGAGCTAGGTTAACCTCGTGTGTTACTGCTGGCGTTGAGCAAGGTTAACCTCGTGTGTTACTGCTAGCGTTGAGCAAGGTTAACCTCGTGTGTTACTGCTAGCGTTGAGCAAGGTTAACCTCGTGTGTTACTGCTAGCGTTGAGCAAGGTTAACCTTGTGTGTTACTGCTGGCGTTGAGCAAGGTTAACCTTGTGTGTTACTGCTAGCGTTGAGCAAGGTTAACCTCGTGTGTTACTGCTAGCGTTGAGCAAGGTTAACCTCGTGTGTTACTGCTGGCGTTGAGCAAGGTTAACCTCGTGTGTTACTGCTAGCGTTGAGCAAGGTTAACCTCGTGTGTTACTGCTGGCGTTGAGCAAGGTTAACCTCGTGTGTTACTGCTAGCGTTGAGCAAGGTTAACCTTGTGTGTTACTGCTAGCGTTGAGCTAGGTTAACCTCGTGTGTTACTGCTAGCGTTGAGCAAGGTTAACCTCGTGTGTTACTGCTGGCGTTGAGCAAGGTTAACCTTGTGCGTTACTGCTAGCGTTGAGCAAGGTTAACCTCGTGTGTTACTGCTGGCGTTGAGCAAGGTTAACCTTGTGTG